TGGCAGGCCTGTCGCGTACGTTGAGTGGACATATGACATGATCATTCTGCGTTTTCCTGACACAACAGCCGAGGTACCGCCAGGAAGATCCATTCACCGGTGTCGTATTGGACTAGTAAGATTTGCTCTCGTCTTAGCGATACATTGGCTTTTGATGATTTCAACTTGTTTTATTAAGAAGAAAGACCCTAACAAGACCTCAACCGGTCTTTATTTCGTTTGTCAGCTGCTCCAAGTTTTACTCTCCGTCTCCGTATCATGCATCATACTAATAGTCCTAAGCAAGGAGGTTACAGTAAGCCCCTTGGTCCTAAGTCCGACCCATACGATTTCCCGAAGTTCCCCGCTTACTCTCTCTCTCTCTCTCTCTCTCTCTCTCTCTCTCTCTCTCTCTCCCCTTTCTCGATGCGGTATGAAACCGTAGTTGAATGTTTTTACCAGCTATAATCAGTTTATATATATGCATACATTTGTTTACTTCTATTACTTCTATGCTTCTAATTTAAAATATAATTGTTAGGCCTAATAAAGCCAATGTCCCTACCCCAGCCCTTTCCCCGTAATTCTTTTCTTCAACAAAGGAGTTTAGAACTACTGTAGTAAACTGTAAACTCCTCGTCTTCAACGTATTATTATTATTAGTAGTAAGTTATTAGTATTAGTCGAACATAGTATGTTCCGAAGGTTTATATTCAGGGGAAGATAACCCTCCTAGTTCGATCAGAGACACTCTCTCTCTGGTTCGATCCACTCTGGATTATTCTTGGTTTCAAGTTGCCGGGATAATTTTTAATTAAAATTTGCCACCTTTTGCCAAAACTGGAATGAAAATTAAACAAGAGTCAGAACTCGTTCAGTCTTTCAACTGCCTCTTGTTTAATAATTGCAACGACTGATTTTAAGGTATTCGTTTTCCCATTCGCTTTTCTACTTTTGTTTTGTCATTCTTGACATTGATTGCGCAAACTACCGTAATTTTGTCATGACATGAACAGATGGTATATAAACAGTGGTTTTCGGTCTTCCATTGCGATTTTGGAAGCCAGTGAGTATAATCTTGATTAAATCTAGATAGATCATGTCATGTTTTAAAGTGGTCGCTCGTTACGGAAAGGAACCCGGCCTTACGGAAAAGGGAATAAAATCAATTGAAGAATTTAACGTGCTAAAGTAGTATTTATAAGATCACCTAGAGTCTAGATCTAGATCTAATCTAGATTCTAGATCTAAATCTAGATCTAGATCTAGATCTAGAATCTATTTTTCTTGTGCTTCGGCTTCGGGGCTTTGGTGCCTTGACTTTTTTGTTTGTTTTGTAAAGTGTTTTACGGCGCTCGCAATTACATAAGGTCATATGAGCGCGCGGGACACACCTAATATTTTCAGTTGGTAGGAAATTTTGAATTTTGCCTGGGTGGCGGCCGAAGCCTACTCTTATCGGTTTTAGACCACCAAGGGATCTTTAACGTGCGCAACTTGCACATGGGCCCTCCGAGATTTTTCGCCCTTGTCCGAGAAGGCTAGATCTAGGTGCAGATCTTTCCTACCAGAAGATCAGGGGTGTGGCTGAAAGACAGCAGTAAGGAGGAGCCAAGGAGTAGCAAAAAACTGGTAGAAAGAAAGGCTGCAGAAAGAGTCAGAAGCCCAGAGGAGGGGGCAAAGGAGGTGAGGGGTGGGGGCAGAAAGTGGAAATGAAAGCAGACAACAGAACATTGCTAGAGAGCAGGAAAGGAGGTGATAGGAGGAGACAATTTTAGAGAAGAAAATTTTTCGGTCGCTACCCGGATTCGAACCCGGGACCTTTGAACGAGAGGCCAACACCTTAACCTCTAGGCAACGAGAGCCCCTCCCTTGACTTTGAGGAGGCCTACTAGATCTAGATTTCTAAATCTAATTTAAAAGGCTACTTTTAGATCTACTCACTTACACTTACTAAATCTAGAACAACTTGCCCATCGAGCATAAATATTTTGGGTTTCTTCTGAAACAAACTCAACTTCTTGGGAAGCATTCATTACAGTGCAAGCAGCCATTTATAGGCGCTAAAACACTCACTGACATACCACAAGATTTTTCGCTGTCTATGGCCGGGTACCCATTCCCTCCTGGGTGAAGTGAGGAAAATTAGTTTAAAGTGCCTTTCCCAAGGACACAACGTTGGGCCCGCAGCTCGAACCCCCCGACCTCGCAACCTCTCGATTATTATTTGTGTTGCCTATTTGGTCTTTAAGACTTCCGGATTTCTTCTCTGGATGTAAACAAATTGATTGTGGACTTTGACGAAAGGAACTACAACTACAAGATACCAGAAACTTGACCATAACCATCAAACTGCATTTTGGTAAATGCGATTAAACGTAGAAAGACGCAAACTATTTTTAGATATGGCGCCCATCTTGTTTGACGTCACACTAGGATACCCCTCCGATCACCGTGACTACATCTAAGTATAGCCAACCGCATGGCACCAAAGATGGAAATGTATGAAAATTGCCGTAAAGACGCTGGAGGATTAGATCTAGATCTAGATCTAGCCCCCCCCCCCCCCCTGCATTCTTCATCACTAATGTACATTTAAAAAAACCGAACGAACTTCAAAGCAGCTTTACAAATTATAATTTATGGGACTATTGGTCAATCGGGAGGAGGAAAAGAGAAAAAAAAAAAGAGCCCGGGACCGGAATCGAACCGCTCGTAAAATCATTGCATGACTTCTAACACAGACGCGCTGTCTATTCGGCCATCAGAACTTCCGATAGCGTGGTGTAGATTAAGCGTTATAACATAGACACTTCCATCTTTGGTGCCATGCGGTTGGCTGATACTTAGATGTAGTCACGTGATCGGAGGGGAATCCTGCTGTGACGTCAAACAAGATGGGTGCCATACCTAAAAATAGTTTGCGTCTGTCTACGTTTCATCACATATATCATTTGGTGATATTGAAAGGTGCATTTTTGATAAAACTTTCAGAGGGTGTAAAAATAGAAGATTGTCAAAATTTGGACTGAAGTGGATTGCTTGCGACATAGATGACATTTTCTTTTTTACTTGTCAAATAACATATTTGTGCAAAGTCAAATCTACTCGACCCTGTACCTGTCCTAGACAATCACATGCAAAAGACCACTCCCCCACCTACCCCCTTTAGGTTTTTAGAAATATATCATAATGACACTGTTGAAGACTTTCACATGTCAAGGCACCAAGTTTTCTACAATGGATAATGGGTGGCCATCCTAGACAAATTTCGACTGGTGGTGGTAGGTTGTCTTATTGTTTGGCTTGCAACCGAAAGGTTGTGGGTTCGAAGCCTGTCTAAGACCCAGCAATTACGTCCTTGGAAGAGGCACTTTACTTCAATTTTCTTCACTTCATCCGGGAATGACCCAGCTGTAGACGGCAAAAAAATCTTGTCAGTTTGTGAGTGTTTGAGTGCTTAATCAGCTGCTTGCCCTACATTTCCCATGAAGTCAAGAATGTTCCTGAATGTTTTATGGTCTGCAGGGGTGATACTATAAATAATATAGGTTGTAAAACGAATAGAGCTTGCTGTTGAGTGGGAATTTGTGCTCCATACATATATATATATATATCGAGGATGTATTATGTAGGGATACAGACGAGAGTGCTCTAGAGCGAGAGGGACACGGTGTAGGTACTATATATATATATGCATTATTATCATTAATATTATTATTATTATTATTATTTTTATTTTATTATTAAATTTTACTTTATTTTCATTCTGGAGTTTTTATCCTTTTTTTCCTCAGTACCACAGTCTACTGGTGCCTCTTTACTTTTTTCAGAGTTCACGTGTACATGTTTCACTCTTGTCTAAAACTAAAACATTTTGGCTTTTGAAAGTCAGAGAAAAGCAGACATTCTCTATCCAGGTTGGCTGGTAGGGCACAGTCCTTCCGTATTTATATATTTGATCTCAACCTGGTGTTAATTTAACCATTTGCCTATTTCAAAGTAGAAACCCTTTCTGAGTGACCCTGAATGAAAGTGAAAGGTGAAGGATATGGTGAGCTATAGAAAATTTGACTTTATATATGTACAGTTTTTAATTAGTTGTGAGTTGAAAGACCTCTGTGGGATGTTGCTGAGACTTAGCAAGCAAGAGAAGAAAAACAAGGAGTTAAAAAAGTCGAGCCTTGTTCATACATACCATTGAAATCTGATCAATGCAAAGAAGATTAACATATAGATCTATATGTTTTGACAGCAAAAAGTATCATGTCAAGACTAAAATTTATCTGTTTCATCTCAGGAACCAACCATCGTCGCAGATAAAAAATGACGCTTGTAAACCATGTCTCCAGTGTGCCATTCTTCATGTGCATCATATTCACATTGATAGTTTTCACAACATTCGTCGACTTTTCCTTGGCCTCAAATGGAGATAGATCATATATTTTTGGGAAATGTGTGCAAGGATGCTCTGGAGCCAACTGCTCCAACTTGACAGAATTTGTTCTCAGTCAACCTGCCTATATGAAGTTCCTTCAGTGGAGTTGCCAAGACGAGTGCAAGTATCAGTGTATGTGGACCACAGTTGATGCATATCAACGGGACAGGAGTGAAGTCCCTCAATTCTATGGAAAGGTGAATATCACAACAATTGTACCACTGTGGATTTTTTTATTTAAAAAAAATATTGTTTTATTGTGTTATAGACTAACTCTACATGATCTCTGAATAAACACTGATTTTTTTTCTTCTTAAAAGTAAGCAAAGTATAAGTTTGAAAAAAAAAAAAATCTAATAAAGGTGATATATTCAAAGAAAGTTGTAAAGAATAAATTTTTTTATGATGTTTCCAGTGGGCGTTATCAATTTTTGTGTGTAATATAATAAGTATGCGTACACACAATCATTAAGTTACTGTACATTTTTAAAAATACAACTGTTAAATGGAATAAGCTGTTAAAGTTGAAGTATTTGTGAAAAGTGTGTTGTTGCCATTGTTTGTATTTGTCATTACATTATAGGTGGTGAAGAAAGGGATCTTATCTTGTGGGACAGAAAAACAAAACTTCTCTAATATTTTCTAAACCTCACCTCTTACAGATGTCTGAAGTTAGCTCAGTATGAGGTTTACACTGTAAATGTTTGTATTATTCAGATGTTTCAATAATAGTTGAATGTGTTTTAAATCATTTATAAAATTGTGTTGTGCTGATGATTTTAAAATTACTTAACACCTCTACTTCTGACAAATTTACTTTACTTTATCTGTCCTCTTGTACCTCTACTCTTGGGCGTCGAGGGGAGAAAGAGCTTCCTGTCTCTAGCAAGTTTGATGGCCTGGGTGGATGGGATGTTGAATGTTTTCATGGTATCCTTCACACCCTTAATCCAGATCTTCCTTGGTCTTCCTCTTGCTTTGTACCCTGATACTTTCCTGGAGTAGGCTTGACAAATATGCAGCATATGTTTAACAAAAATTGTTATCCCTGCCTGCCATACTTTTAATTTTTGTGTATGTTCTTGTTTTCAGTGGCCTTTTGTTCGCTATGCAGGTGTACAAGAACCGGCTTCGATGATATTTTCGCTGATGAATGCTCTGTCCCATTTGGCTATATTCTACTACAGAGCTAAAGTGCCTTCATCAGCTTCAATGTACAGAGTCTGGCATTTAATGGCCTTGGTAAATTGAACTTTAATTTATTTTAAATAATAAGTTGTTGTCCAGAAGTACTACTGAGATTGTTAGTTTGTATTTCTTAGCTTTTGTACTCACTCTTCTTACCATTTTCACTCTGGGTACTGAAATATCCGTGGGTGTCCAGTTGAGATGTGGGGGTGGGGCGAGGGATGGGGGGGGGGGGGGGGTGGGGTTGTATAAGTTAAAGATCAGTTATGGTGTTGATCTAATCTATTATGCCTACTTGTTAAAAGTTACAGTAGTTGTCATACAAGACTATTAAGTACAGTTTTCCGCGCTCCTTTCTAGTGTGCATTAGGGCTATACATTGTTAGGTCAAAATGTGGCACGCTTTCTTCCCCCCCCCTCCCCCCCACATAAGTGAAAGGTAATAGTCTTAAAAACCTGTTTATATTGGTCCGAAATTGATGGTTGAAATTTTTCAGAAGAGTGAAAATATGTGCCATGTTATGCTGTTTGTATAAGGCTCAAAGTTTTACCTTAAAAAATTTAACGTAAGTCTTGTAAGGATGAAACAAAGACATTGCTGTACAGGAGTACTGTACGAGAAGGAATAAATCCATTGATTCTATGTTCTATAATAGCAGGAACTTTCAGGACTCTAATTTCATTAAGAGAGACTGTCACAGGTTGTTGGGAAGAGGAGAGACAGAATATATGTATTTTTTTCTTCTCGTAAATCGAATGCTTTTTCTTTTCCCAAGATTGGAATTGTGACCTGGCTTTGTGCTTCAGTTTTTCACACCAGGGACACCCCAACCACTGAGGTAAAATAGGAAACTTGATAAATATTATGCTCATTTATCATGATATGAATGGGTACTGAGTATAATTCTAATCTAGCTCAGAATGGATATGTTTTTCAGAGACTTCCTAGAATTATGATGCATTAAATTACAGACTTAAGTGAAATAATTTCCCCTACAAGTCTCTGGATATGCTATTTTTTGTCTTTTATAAGTGTCCTAGGGGTCATTTTAAATTGTGAAAATGTTACTTCAATGTCTGTTCTTCAGCTTTTATCTATTTTGTAATGTATGGTTATAGGATTCCCTGGTTAGGTTTTTATTTTTTACCCTGCACCATCTTATTAATTATAAGTGACACAAAAGTTGAAGTAAAAAACAAAACACCCAGAGAATTGGTGATACCAATGTTGCTTGTGTTCTAAGTTTGTCAATTTAAGAAGTAAAAATGACACAAGTGTGTAAATAATATGATACGTTATGATGCAGTTTTCCCCCATATTTACATCAACTTTGTGAGTGCTGTTTTGAGGGCTTTCCACTTGGAACCTGTTTAAGGTTTTTTTCATATTTTATTTCAATCCAGGGGTATTCTGTTGCATTTATTTTCTGTATATTAACTTCTTGTACTTTTCTCCTATAGAAAATGGACTACTTCAGTGCCTTTGGACTGGTCCTGTTCAATTTATTTTCATTAATCTGCAGGTAACCTTTTCTGTGATTTTATTTTTATATTTCCTATGTTTTTGGGTGATACGCAGATTATACTTTTATAATAACTATCTCATGTTTACTTCTTGTCACTCTTTTGCAGTTTTTCACCAACTTTTTGGTCCTGTGTTGTTTAAGTACGAGATTCTATATTACTTTGCTCTAAGTGTGTCAGTCAATGTACAAACATATTTACACTTAGAAATCATAATTTTTTCATTATTATAATGAGGTTTACAGTGTATTTACAACAGTAGGGAAATGTCCTTACTTAAAAGTTTCTTTTTAATTTTCCTTATTAATTTAGACAAATATAAAACATAAATTTTTCTTCATTGGTTTCATGTTGACAATGTGCTTTTTTCACTCTGATTGTTTTTTAAAAATTGTCTTTCTGGCACCAGAGTAGTTTTCCATACCTTGTTGTTGTAATTTCAACTTCTTTCCTGATTTAATTTTTTAGCAATACTAATATTTTTTTTGGTATCATTAATTGTCAAACTCACAGCTTTTCATTTTAGTGAATACATTAATCCGTGTTTTGTTTTGGACAATCTCAAACTCCAAGAGCCACATTTAGGAAAACGCTACGTTAATGAGCCCCATTTAATAACTATTTTTGAGTTATTGTTTCGCATGAACATTTCAGTGCATACATATTACAGTGGAAACGATATATAACAGGCCCGGTAATACAGGGATTTTTAAAATCCCTGTTTTTTCCTACTCTTTGTCTATATTAAAAGTTATCGGCTATAACAGGGCCTCTTCGGAGTCAAATCGGTTATAGCTGGGACATAGGTTCGTTAACTATGTGTAAAAAAGACCACGCAAGCCACGCCACTGCAAGCACATGCAGCAGATGAAGCGAGAGAGGGCTGCGGTGTGCTGCAGACTTCAATCGAGGCCTAAGCCTAGCTACACTCAGGCGTAATGTGTCATGTGCAGGCCATGAGAAACTACCGGTGAATAACAGCTGGATTAGTCCATAAATGCTTACTTCCCTTGCATTTCTGATTTAACAGGGAGCTGATATAAGAGGACTTTTCCTCTGGTCCCTCCATCCCTATCATATCCAGTTTCCACTGTACTTCTCTGTTTTTTTCCTTCTTGATTGAAGGGTTGCAGGTACAAGCCATATAAAAGTGCTTCTTCTTGTTGGGTCAGCGTTAGTTGGACTGTACAGCTACCACATCTACTACTTGGCCTTTATTCATTTTGACTATGGATATAACATGATCGTCAATGTGGCTGTAGGTATGTGATGTTGTATTTACTCAGAGGACTGGAGTAAGATTAAAACTTTCTGTTGTGCAGAGGATTAGGTGGTAATTTGGAGCTAGTTGTTTTCTTCCCCCCTCTGAGCTGCTCTTGTGCTGGTGTCAGAAGTTGCTTTTGGAGTTTTCTTCCAAGATAACAAAAAAAAAAAAGCAGACTTGCCGACCAGCAGTCTTTTTTCAAAATTGACCAAGTTACCTCCTTTCTCCTAAAAGTGCAGGGTGGTACATTTCTTTGTAACTTGTTTGATATTGGTTTATTTTTAGCCATCCAGCTCGTGTTCATCAAAGAAGAAATGTCATTGTACTGAGAGGGAGGAAGAATTCACAGTCACAGCTTTAGATATATGTGCCATTCCTCTTCTACTCTTTTAGAATAATGGGCAAAGTGACAAACATTCTTGTTAGCTTGAGGTGCTTGATGTGTGTAAGCTTAGAGTCAGCTTGGTTTGTCTTAATGCATATTATATTATGAAAATATAATTTTTTAACGAGCGCCGTTTATATTAACGTTTCAGATGATTTAGCTGTTTTCTTATTCTTTTATCTCTTATAGACAGATGGTTATATTAAAAGCATATTGTGTAACGCTAATAGATTTGAAGACTAACAAATTCAAATAAAATAACCACAGGAGCTGTCAATGCAGTTGGCTGGGTTGTGTGGTGTTTCTATCACCTCAAACAAAAGCCACATTGGTGGAAAGGTGTGCTGGTGATGCTGGGCCTCAACGCTCTACTTTTGCTGGAGTTGGGCGACTTCCCCCCGCTGCTGTGGACGTTTGATGCTCACGCCATCTGGCATGCCGGAACTGTTCCACTTAACTTACTGTGGTACAGGTAATGACATTTTCATCTTAATTTTTTTCTGTCTTTAAGAGCTTTTCCTGCTGTTCTCAAATTTTTTAAATCTCGTATGTTCTGGTGTGAATGTTTTTACCTCAGTTATAGTCAGTGTTCTACTGTGTGGACTTTATCTCTGCCTACTTTTTATAAAGCTGTGTCCTGAAACTTTCCAGAAATCTTTCTAAATCCAAATGGCAACACTTTTTTGTTTTTTAATTTGATATAATTGGTGCTATGAATTCACACTCAATCACTCTAACTTGATTGTTTTTGACATCTCATAACAAATAAATGTGTTCTCAACTTCCAAAGATAGATACGAATAGGAAAAAGTTACGTGCCTGCTGACTTTTGGCTGGACTTTTTGTCCTTAGAACATAAACCCTGAAATTTTGTGTGTTTTTTTTTCAATGTTTCTCTTTTTTTTTTTTCAAAATATAATGTTTTCCCTTAATTATATATGATTTAAACATAGATTTCTGTAGAAATTCTGAAAATTAAGATTTCATTTTTTCTGTACTTTTGTTTTTCCTGACCCAGACATCTGGTTGACAAACTTTTTTGTCTCTCTCTTTCTTTACAGTTTTATAACTGATGACGCTTTGCATGAAGTGAAAGTCAGAGGAATGCCGGAATTCAAGAAGATGCTTTGATTGGCTTCTTGATGTCATTAACCTATCAACATGTTTCTTCAACATTAAAAGTGAAGTGACATCAAGTTCTTGCCATCTGTGATCAGTCACATTGCTTTTATGAGGTCAATCATTATCCCACCGTGTTGTAAATGTTTTAAATAACCTTTGAGTGGCTTAACCAAAGAGCTCAGTAAACAACTATATATTGTTCAAGTCTGACAGAGTGAATGCCACAGAAGGGCGGAAAGGGTAGAAGGAGCAGTGAGCATTTCTAGATGCTTCAGAGACGAGGCTGGATTGTGCACAAGGAGAAAACTTGTCAGTCTGTGGGGACAGCACTCTGTACATGTACATGCCTCTGTGCTACAAAAATACATCACATATAAGCTCTACATTATTTACCCAAAATAGTGGTCTACTAAGGGTAAATATAATAGCTAGAAGCTACTGTTGAAATGTAGTTTCTAATGCCGCTTTCATTGTCATATCAATATCTTGTTCTTTTTCATGCTTGTGTGGCATACACCTCAGTGTGGGCTTCACATTCGCCACCCTGCACAGATCATACTGCTATATGTTGTGTCATATTTTAGACACTTTTGAATACTCTTTATCTTCATCATCACCATCATTACATTTTGGGTTGAAATTGATGGGGTGTCAGTCCTATAACAACATGTCATGCGGAATAGATTAAGATAACAAAAATGCTAGAGCGGAGGAAATGGAGAAGACCATACCAGAGAGCCCACAAACCAGCTACTTCTGTCCACTTGACTGCTAATTTACTATTTTTGTTAAAGTTAATGCTTTGCTTGATAGACTGACCCAAAGCTGATGCTCAAACTTGGACTACACATTCTTTGTAGTTTGAAAATAGTCAAGAACTTTTCATCTTGTCAACAGCTGTTGTGTGATGTCATACAATCACAATCCATTTTTTCATTTGCAAGCCGCTTCAAGGACATTGTGCCTCTGTTTTCATTCTCTTTTTGTCCCATGTGACATCAGTTTTTGCTCAATATGATATGACTTCTAGTTAAATGTGCTCCTGTACTTTTTGAACTAACTCAGTTTTGTATACTGATATATAATATGTAGGGTCTATAATTCTATATCTGTGAAGATCATTTCTTGCTTTGCATTTTAGTGTTCAATCTGAAGATCAAATTATGTCTTGTTCTGCTAAGAGACCATTTCGGTTTCTAAATATGTGAGTGTGCAGAGAGAGTGGAAAATCCGAGTTCTATGATTGATTGTATGGTGGTTGATGTATTCCGTGTACTTTTTTAAGAACCCTCATTGACAGTGCTCTGACTGCCAACAATTCACTTTTCTCAAATCCACAACAGAAGAGATTTGAAAAATAATAAAATTTCAGTTGCACCAGTCAGTATTTGAAATACTCAAATATACCTGAAGTACATATTATTTATAGAAATGAAATACACTTTCTGTGTACTGTTACCGTTTCTGACTTGAATGACGTTTGGTCTAAACTGTCCCCACTTTTCAAGGATGCCCATAACAGATTTTGTCAAACTAAAGATATGGTGGTTCTTAGTAACAAGTACTTTTTACCCTTCAAGTTGTCGCTGCACCTGCTTTTCTCATTGATATTTGGTAATTGAAATGTAATAGAAATTGATTTATGCAGTAGGCTGTACAGATTAAAGTACTGCATAACTCACCATAAACTGCTCTTAGACGTACTAAATGGTGGGCACTTACTGAGAAGTTGATCAAATGGTACACCTGAATAACCATGGATCTTAATTCTTATTCTTACTGCCATATTCTTATCCTCCACTCAATTCAGTCACTAAGAAGTGGGCCTTTTTCTGTACTCCCTTGTTGAAAATGAAACACTTGAGCATTCAGTCTTGATACATATCACATGTTTATAAGCTTTTATCTTGTTTGAAAATAGTAGTTGTATTCGTATAACTGGATCTCAGCACTCTGCATGATGTAAAGGGGATTCCGACTTTTTGAGGTCAGTGGTTTGTTCATGTTCACTGTACCTGTAGAATGTTGAATGAAAAAGGTTTGTGATGATGTAGAAATCTGTGTCTTGTTTGCTCTTTCTAAAACTTTTTTTGCATTCTTTTCTACTCAGACTGCTATTTCTTTTATGTATTCTGTTGTTTTCTTTTCCAGCTTCATCTGTCATACATGTATATATTCTATTTCCCTGGCCCATTCTTTCCAGCTTTAACCCTAGATGAAAGAGTCAGGTCTATGTTTATGCCAAGGCTCAAAAGGGTTTAAATTTACAAGATAGCTTGTTCGAACAGGGGCATTTTAATTATTTCGGAAGAAACTTTGTTTTAATTATTTTCATTTTAGTTCTATTTCGAATGAATACCATTGCTGTAACAAAACTGAGGAGCCCCAGTAATGTATCATTTTGACTGTTTTGTTAATTCAAATTCTTTAAAATTCCTAAACCCAATTCCTTAATGTGTAAAGTGTCTTAATGTAAAACTTGTCATTTTACCGGATTTTTGGTTCAAAGTGAGGAATGTTAGTGGCCCATGCATCCATTCTTCTTAAGGTAGTGTTCATGCTTTCAGTGGAAGCTGAACCATCAAGAAGTGTTATGAATTGAATACTGTATGAAAACAAGCTCAAGATCCCATTGAATCATGTTCATGAACTTTGGAAAGTAGCATGTCATTGGCTCTCTTTTTTCCGTTTTGGATTGAGCAACGTTTAAAGCTGCATATAATTCCATACCCAGCTTTTTAGGAGCAGAAAAGGATCAACAGTGATATAGCTTACATTTTATGAGGCAAAAGAGAAATATGATCCTCAGCATACAGCAATTCGTTTTTAAATGACTGGGTAGTTCATCTCTTTCCTGTGTTGAAAATGGCATGGCAATAGACACTTTAGAACTTCTTCATAATATTCTTTCTTTCAAAAAAATATTTGTGTACAAGGAAAGATACTTACCTCATAATATATGGAACTGTTTCAGTAGAGCTCAGATCTATGGCACTTATGGTTTTACATGAATTCTAATTTCAGCATTATATTATTATATTTTTGTGATCCTTTGACATTTTTTTGGTATGTTTGAACATAGAGTCCCTGTATGCATGATATTTTTCCCCCTTTTATGTCAATGTTTTTGGAATTATTTTTTACCCTATTTTTTGCATAACGTATTTTGAGATTGTTGTAAGGCTTGAAGATGAGCCAGTAATGGACATGCAAATTTTGTTGACTGTTTGCTTAGTGGTGCATAAATGTGCAATTCGGAGACTCGTTAATGTCTGAAAGAATTAGAATGTTACAATTTTAACTCTATTAATAATAGTGTTTGTGGTAATAAGTGGTTTGAAAGACAAAAATATCCTGTGTTTTAAGTGTTGTGAAATGTACATGATGAACAATTAGTAGTAGGTGTGTCTTGAGTATGTTTGTATGTAATATTTATGCACAAGTACAAGCTTTATTATAAACAATCAGGCATAACTTTTTCTCAGTGTTTAGTATGATGCTGTTATATTCTATATGTTGGAATTGGATTGTTGTTTTAATTCTTTTGAAACTTGGTATCAAATGACTGTGATGCTTTAAATACCTTTTGTATGTGATTTTTCAAGGAAATAAAAGTTTCTTGGTTGTTTTGTCAAAACACTTTTATTTGAAGTCTGTTTTTATTTTTAATTTTAGCTCATGGAATGCTTCTGGGGATGGTCCAAAACTGCTCTTGCCATAATCAGTTAGTCTTTCAAAACTCACTTTGATTTGACCGAAGTGAACGATCTAAGAATAGGAATTAAAGTGACAAAGGTTTTGGTTATGTTTCACTTGGTTGTTTCTAATCGTGTAAAGAACTGAACAGAGCGGTCTCACAAGTTCTTAAAAAAAAAACTGACTGAGAAGGGGGTGTCATCAGTACGTACTTAACTGATTCCGTCCATGATTTTTTCAGACTCTGGACAGAATTATTTTTCCTTGTTCAGTTTTAACTCACTTGCGACTGGGCCCTTTCACCAGTCACAAGCGTTGAAGACTGGCGTTTTTGGGGGTATTTCAATAAATCACCACAACTCTCAGAATTACCCTAATGTAATTATTTTTTGACACAGTAAAGTAACATTCAAGCTTAATCTAACACAAAAAACTAAAGTTGTCTAAGTCTAATACTTTAATTTGTATGATTTTTTAAAAATTGGCATGAATTGGATTTTCCGAAAAATTTCCAGAGACGTGACAAGTAGAATGAAATTCACTACAACAACAAAAATAAAAGTTCAAAGTGTTCTGGTTTGATTTGTATACATGCATGTGCTAGTGTTTGGTGAAAATATAAAAGCTGGTCTGTGCATTGATTCAGACCCATACACTGAATTACATTTGACAGATGTACGGCACGACGTTGTGATTTCGTTGCGCGAAAAACAACACCGGTACTAGTGCTAGATCTAGCCCTAGAACTACGACTCGGGCCGTGTTCGGGTACATATCCAGGATCATAACTATTAGACACATCATATTCTGAGACACTAGAACTAGTAAAACGTACATAAGTATAGAAAACGGCGAAATTATGTGATTCTTGTTCATGGGACTTCTTCGACCGTTATTACGACGCGACTGTCGGATTACTATCAGCTGTATAGAAAAAAACAAAGCGCGAGTTCCGGTCTGTTCAACCCCAGTTGGGGTCACTGTCCTTCACCTTCAATAACTTAAAAACTATGGACCCAGAGATACGAAACGAAGTCTAAGTAGCTCAGGCTTGGCCAAACAAGGGTACCAGGCGGGTCTCGCGATCCGTGCGTGATTTGTAGAGCGAAAAAAATATTCCAAAGTTGGTCACACAGGGCTTGTGAGACCCGTCGCGAGCGTCGCGGCGGGGGTCACGCAACTGTTGTGTGAACCGTCTGAAGTGAGTTAAACCTCAGGTGCCTCTATTTAATGCATTACTGTGAAGCTCTAAGTTACTCTATATATGTATTGTCATATACCAAAGTGATGGGAATCAATAGAGGAATCTGTTTATATCAATAACAAAGATCTGTTTGTATTGTATTTTTCGTCAGACAAAAACAAATGAGGAAAAAAAATTGCGCAAAACATCTTCGAAAATTTTGACTTACCGAATTTTCTCAGCTCTACATGTCCTTATAATCCAAAGGAATCAACACAAAATTGTAGCGATACCACCCTAGCACACATTTATGCAAGAATTTCACAAATTTAGTTGAATATCTTTCTTTGAAGGGCCTTTTTCTTATACCAGGCTCCGTGTTATTTACCCTTAGATCTAGCCTACATAGCGACAACAAAACAACGATTTTTGCAAGAATTTCGCAGAGTTTCGATCGATTTTGGCGCTCAGAGATTGAGGTCAGGTTTGTTTACAAGTTCTACTTCCTTTCGACAACTTAAAAAGTAAGAACTAAGTTAACAAGTGCACATTTGTTTCGGATTTCGCTGAGCCGCTCACAGCGGTCAAATGGATGCAGCGGAAAAACTCAGAGCCGCTGTCAGCGGCCGAATGGATGGAATCAGTTAACCCTCCAAGTGTCGTTTACAAATAGCCTGTGGTGTTGCGGGGAAATTTTTGGATACCTTTACCTGTGTGCCTTTACTTGCAAGCAATTCATGCATATGATTTCACCATCTTAATGTTGGAAAATGATTGAGAATAGGCAATCCAAGACAGTGAAGACTATAATAAACCTACACATTTCCAGAAAGAAGAATGTAAATAGGAAGTAGACCTCATATTTGCGAAGGATTTGAGATGCGACCACTACAAGTTTTCCTGTGCTAGTGCTAGTGTATTGTGCAGACTGACATATAGGCCCTATGGCCCATTTCCAACTGAAGGCTCTATACTTTGACTGCATAAAGAGTGATTGTGGGGAAGCATGGCGAGAAATAGGGAGGGGTTTGGATTGGAAAATATGTCACACATAGAGAGGAATCTTCTTTTTCAGTCAGGATGTTTTGAATTTATTTCTTTCATGTAAGCCAGTGTGGAGAAACATGAAATAATGAAGAATTTCAAAACCAAATTTTGAGTTTGTTCATGTTAATACAGGATTCATGTTGGGGTAGTTTGTGTTAAATGAAGTCTTCTGTAGCTGTTTTTGTGCCTCACAAATCCTTTATTTAATGTATAAATAATCAATTTTATAGTCCGGGCATCAGGATAAAAAAAATTATACCATAAAAAATAAAATGCAATTATATGAGTGTTTGTGAGGTTTATTTTCAAGTACGTAGATAAAAGTATTCTTAAAATCCTAAACAAACTCCCAGATTTTCTGTGTCCGAAAGTAAAAGACTGCTACAAAACCATCCTTGGATAAAAATAACAAAAATTCAAAAGCCAGACTATCAAACATGAAAACGCAAGTTACAAATGTGAAAATAAAGCATTCTCTCTCTCCCCCCCACCGTATGTTTATATTATTCAAGTGCACTTATATATATATGAGCTTCGTGATACTCCCCACATAACTCATGGAGTATGGACAGTACCAAACAGACTCAATCAGTTTAATAAACATTATTTAAACAATGATGCAAAACAAAGCGAATTCTTCACCAACTGATACTAAGAGTGTGTTTTTTCAAAATAGAGATAAACATTGACAGAAAATAAGTATCTTACATGTAGAAAACTAACACATCTGCAGCAGACATAGTTCTGTAAAGTGGCTTCTGACTATGCAATATATATGTACATCAGATATGACAGGCCTCACAACCACTGGATTCCATCAAAGATACCTATTTCATGACAATGTATTTGTAACACAAACTTTCCCAAGGGTATGAATAGTTATATTTTCTCAAATGTTTACTGTGATAAGACAATGTATTTTTCACTTTTGTCCTCAAACGAGAACACTGAATGCTGAGATGGAAACTATTTATTGAAATGAAAACTTGTTCTCACAATAATATATTATATTTTTTGTGCAGTACAATTAGTTTTGTTGTTTCTGAACCTCATGGTTTGAAATGTCAAAACCATTACAGAATCCTCTTCTAAATTTAACGGTGCATCATGAAGAAAGCATCCTGACCCGACTGAAGAGTTGAGGTCCCAGATCTACCACACAAACCCTAGTCTGTTCTTGCTGGGGTTCTTGCCATGAATCTGCTGCTTGGTCTCATTGGTGGAATCGCGCTGGTAATGCGGCATCTGCACGCCAGACTTGTCCGACACCATGTAGCTGGGCCGGATCCCGCCCTTTCCGGGGAACGTTGGGCCAAGACCACCTCCCGCTCCCTCACGGGCAGCTTTCTCCAGAGGGTAGACATTGCGGCCACCCTGTTTGCTGTGGTCAATCACCTGGGCAAGAGTGACACATGACAAATGAAGTAAACTTCCTGTTTCCATGTAGCCTATGGCATTGTCAACACTTTTAGTAGGTGACCGAATCAGTGGAAAGAACTAGGCAAGAACAAATACTAGATAAACTGGGATTAGGAGTACTACATTTATAGAGCGAGCGGAACATAGGCTTAATATGAACAGATTTCCAGCAGCCCTTTTCTATACTCTGATGTTAGTTTTTACAGGGTGTAGTCATATGTTATATCATAAATGTGGCCCTTTACAAGGACAACTCATCAATAATCAATGAGTGCAGCGAATACCAGTAATCCATGCAGCTGTGGGTCATTGGTGAGTTTTGGGTTTTACACAATCATTGACTTTATTTATAAAGTCACAAGGTTCATCACACTTAGTGGCAGTAGACAGGCAGTTATGAAACTATAACAACTGCGTATACAATGTACAACATTTTGTAAGGCATAGTCTGAGAGTACAGTTGGTGAATGGAAAGAGATAAAAGAAGAAAACAAGAACAACAAACATCAAAGAAAGATGATGGTTGTGGATTGAGTAAGAGAAACAAATAAAAAAGGTTGAGAAAAACTTCACTGAGAAAAGCCAAACATCTGAAGCAAGAGACCATCCATTACAACGTACGCCTACCTTTCTCGCATATTCCTGGAACTGAGCCTCCTCCTTCTCAATGAGCTCAACATTTGCCTTGTCCAGGGCCAGCTGAGCCTTCTTTGAGTCTTCCTCCTTGTCCACGCGTTCATTCTGAAATAGCAGCAACAACGTTTGATAACAGTGAAATTTCATCAGGAAGCAGAAATGTTCAAAGGAAAGACTACAAAACTGACTTTTGAGCTACTGAGCCCCCTTTCCATGACATGGTTTGAGGGTTGTTGTTTTTTTTAAAGCACCAAGATATAATAATGGTTATTAGTTTTGGAGGCAAAGCAAGACAACAGATGTGAGCTACTAGAAGGATAAGACCTGCTCAAGACTCTCTTCAATCAGTTGCCTATTCTGGGCAGTTTATAACGCTTATGAAAGTTAGAAACCTGGTACCATTGTATACCATTAATATGTTTCATCACAATAAATCGGCAGCCTTCAAAAACATTTACCCGTAAAATCTCTTTTAATATTAAAAAAGGGGAATTAGACACTACAATAACTCATTCTTCTCCTTCAAGACATGAATGAAAGTAGCAGGGACGATAACAAAATCATCCACTGCACGTTAGTAAATTCAAACAGACTTAATAAACTTAGTATTTTCTTCAAGGTATAAAAAGATTAAACTTGAATTATTTTTTAAAGGCAAAAATGCCAGTTGTATCCACACACATGAACATCTCTTCTTGGCAAAGAAAACGATCGGTAGCCTTGTGGGTAGGCTACTGGACCCGTAATCGTGAAATTGCGTGTTCGGGGTACGAGCCTGAGCTCGGTCCGACATTCTGTCCTTGGGAAAGGCACTATATTGTGGACATGAATTTCCCATTTGGCTCAATCCTTATGGAGATGGGTATTAAACTCTGAGGTCCTATCTCTTAAACAACCTAAAAGTGTTGACAGGAGTGTTAAACCTCTATACCATTTCACCATTCAAAGGAAGCGAGTCACAAGTCAAATAGGCAGCTATTTCTATGACTATGAAGTGACTCACATATTGGTCAATCAGGAAGTTCCGTAGATCATCATTTTGAGATTTACGGCGCATCATCTTGTCTATTTCATTCTGTCTGAAGAGTTCATCAGCAGCTCGACGCATTTCCAACATCTCCAGTTCTTCCATCTTGGACTTCTTTTTCTGTGCTTCTTTTTCTTTCAACTGAAAATAGATATTGATCCATAGAATGAAAGAAGTGGATAGGGTGTGTGTGTGTGGGGGTGTCTCCAAAAGTACATTATGTTTCTCTTTCAAAACAACGTGTCTGGTTCTATGGTGAGATTATGAAAGGACTATCAGTGGATAAGCTACTATACAGGAAGGTAGGGTCAACAACCTTGTATTCTCAAACAAGGGCACAGATCAAGCATGCCCTCGTCTGTTAAACTGAGTAAAATTAAAGACCATTCCTTAATCTAGCTGGAAAAAACACTTTCCAGTGTACCAATGTAATCTATCAGTGAAAAGATAATTTAAAAATCCTGAAACCTGGTTCTATTATATAGGAAAATCAGCTACATACAAAACACAGTGTTGTGTTGTAGATCGAAAAATATAGGCCCACAGCTAGCAACTTGCAGGGGAGCATAAAGGATTAAAGGAAGTATAAATAATTTGTACATTCATGATGGAATAAATTTAAAAATAAATTTGGTAACAGCGAGCAGCCACCAGATAAGTGGCAGCAGACGAAAAAGAAAGGAGAGTATAGTAAACTGCTTTTCAAGACCAGTTCATTGATGCTTGTCTTTAACTACGGTAAGAATGATATGGTTGCTTATTTCACTCAGTTTTGAGAAAGCTTTAGGGTGTCAAGACTATTTTTTTCAGCTGGCATTTCTTTCAGTAATGTTTCACATGGCTGCACCTGAAAAACGATATTAAAAAAAAAAAGTGTCCCATGTTTCGAATTTAGCAGGCTACTATGTTTCCCCTTATCAAAACACAGCAACTCATAGTTTCATTGTGCACAGAAGCTTAAAAGAGTGAAATTTAAGACCAATATCCTAAATAAAGGTAAAAAGTAGTCAAAGTGTCAAAAAAGCGTATAGCAATCAGTCCCATATATATATGGGAGCCAAGCATATTCAAGTTTTTCACCTCCTTGATTTTTAAGTATTATCTCTAGCTCTTTACCTGTTTATTTCTGTGTTCTGCTTGTTCTTTGATTTCCTTCAGAAGTTTCTCTTCCTTTGCCCTCTCCTCATCCATTCTCTTCTTTTCACTCTCCTCCACAGCTTTACGTATCCTGTCCTCCTCATCACTGATCTTCTGCTTCATCTGAGCAGCAAGTTTCTCGCGGATACGCTCCAACTGGGCTTGCTTTGTGCTAAAATTAGAAAACAGAAACAGTCATTTTTCAATACATCATGTTTCTTTGAATTTTATAGAACAACTTTCAGAATCAATAGTTTAACTAAAACAGAAAAAGAACTAAAGGATAAGTCTTTTACTGAAAAAAATCAATTTTTATTTCTAGACATAAACCACGACTATTTCTGTCCTAAAGAGGTAGCAAAATTTACTGTACTAGAAAACATTAAGCTCCTTGTTTTAGAAAATTCAGTAAGTTCAAATAAGAATAAATCCAGAGACATCTTTCTTTCAGTCTTCATTTGAGCATGAATTTTACATATCATCAACTTTCTAAGATAATGGCTTGTAGCAGTTTAACCCTATCTGTACGTCGTGTTTTACTATCGGATCCATAAAATGTGGGGAACTCTGTGCCACAACTTTCCAAACAGGAAATTAACTCGTTAATCCGATCCGTACGCTTTGCATAGCAGTCTGTCAAAATAATTTTTTGAGTAATACTGAAAGTTTCAAAGAGATCTTTGCACTATTTTTGAGTAATACTGAAAGTTTCAAAGAGATCTTTGCACTAGAAGTATTCTAAAATGTGAAGAATACAACCCCGGGGGTACAAAATGACCCCAGGGCGTTCGAATAGGGTTAAAAAAAACCCACCCAAAAGTCTCCAGAATTTCATTGCTTTTCCTGAGTTGGGTAATAAGACTTCCTTTTGAATATTTTGGACTTAATTAGATGGTACAGTGGAACTGCTTAGTGATGTACATGCTGGAGGAACACCAAACCATGCATGGAAAAATCCTTGGCGAGTCACTTTCATTTTATAAATAATCTTAGATCATTATCATAGTTAGTTGGTGACAGGTTCCCACTTGTCAATACACAGCTAACAACTCCTCCCCCCCCACCCCCCCCCCCCCCCGCCTTCCCCCTCACACACATACCTCACCCCCTCTACCAGAATGTTATGTATTTTGTTATTTGCTTTTATGCAATCAAACAATATGACAACTGAATACTGCACAGCTTTTGCATAATCAGATAAATTCACTTACTTATGGATATCCTGCTCCTTTTGAGCCCTCAATTTCATCATCTTTCTCTTTGCGGCAGCAAAAACTCTGCACTCTTCATCTTCTTCCTGAAATAAAAACAAATCCATGAGTCATGTTAAAAAAAGTCCAAAATAAAAGCATGCATTGTATAGAATTGGAATCCAGGCTTGACATCTGATTATGTGAAGCATATTTTGTCATTATTTCTCATAGCCAACTATTATCAATAATATCAGATAGTCAATATCATTCCCTGCCAAGTTCCTATTATAAGTGAAAGAAAAGTAAAACCGCACCTCATCTTGTCGCTCCTGTAGGATCTTCATCTTCTCCACATCTTGGATCTGCTGCACGTTTTCCTTCATGAGTGATTTCCTCTCTTCACGCCTGATGTTCTCTAGCCGCTCCTTCTCAATCTGAAACTGCACAGCCAACTTCTTCAGCTCATCGCCTTCTTTGTCGTCTTCCACTCTCAGTTTTTCTCCAGACTTCAAGTGCTCATGAATCCTGTGGTTGCCACAGAGAATACTACTATTTAGTAAAAGCCTTTCATGGCATAAGGGGAAAGATAGCTGGTGTGGGGGGTCATAGGACTTACCAAAATGGTCTTAGAAGATTGGGGGGGGGGTTGTTGTAGAGGAATACACTTTTCTACACTGGTACATTGTTGTTGTTTTTTTTATTATTGAAAAGGAAAAGAAAAGAAAAAAGAAACAGATTGAAGGGAGGCAATGTACATTTGTTTATTTGATAATTTGATTACATCCAATAAGATATGGCTAGTAAACAACAAATAGCAAAAAAGAAAGTCTTAAAATGATAAATCAAACAATTATTAGTAAAACACAAGGTGAGAAAACCAGTTGTAAAATAATGGAACACTGAAACAAAGCTTGTACAGTGAAGTCCTTTATAACCTATGAACAGACCATGAGAAATTAATTGCAGTACTTTCAAAATATTGAGCTAAAAACTTACTTTACTTTTTTCTTCCGCTTGTACCCTGGGGTGTCGCTAAAAAAAACCCTCTAATTCAAAAACACTAATTATTTGTGTACATAGTGTATAGTCTTGAATTCCTTCCAGATGAAGACTTTCATGACATAACGTGGCAGGCTGTCTTCATCAAATTAACTATCTCTATCCCCGTGGAGGACACCCAATATGTATACTTTAGTTACAGAAAAATAAAAAGGAGATATTAAAGAACCGTACACTATTTTTCCCAAGAAAGATTCTCTCAGGCCAAGCCAGGGATCAAATGTGCAGATGTCTGAACAATGTCTTAACTACAAAATCAAGATACTCCTGTGTACATGGAGTGTGTGCATGGGTCTTCTTTGCATGCTTTGGTGCACTTTTCAGATTATATGAAATTTATGAAAAGTATGCAAAATCATTATAAGGATCACACAACTTATGAATTTTTTCAAAAAGAACACAATCGATGCTGAGGACCTGAAAGGATGAGAGATTTTTTATTTATGTGGGTATGAGCAAAGAACAAAGATGAGCTTGTTCTCAGGTTTTCACACTTCGGAGTGTAAAATGAAGAGGAAAAAGCACCCAATTTTTAGGATAGCGATAGAAAAACCTAAGAAATCTTAAGTACATGTAGGCATGGCTATACTGGAGGTTAAATTGAGAAGAAAAATAGTTCTGCCCCGGCTTACACCTCCTGCAAAATTCAAAAAATTAAACCCCTGCATAACTATTACTGAAGAAACTTCTATCAGTTAAATATGGTGATAGTCTTAAAATGAAGGATATGATAGTTACCCGAAAAGAAGGTGATATATCACAAGCTTTCTTGTACTAACCCCATATTTCCTGTTTTCATATAAAACACTTTAAAAGCACCAAATTTTCATTGTGAAAACTGGTTAGTGCAAAATGAAACTGAAATGTTATGGAACAAGGGTAAAACCATATTAATTCTGGCTCCTTGGGAAGGTTTTTCAACAGCCACCAATTGTGACAAAAACTGTCATAACTTGGAGACTGGAGCTGGTACTAGACAGCTCAGTGAGCAATGTGCTTGTAGGACAATAGGCCAGACACACAAAAATCACTAGCACCAAGGGCTGTAGAACCCCTGAGATCTAGAAGAAGAAAGAAGAAGAAGAAGAAGAAGAAGAAGAAGAAGAAGAGGAAGAGGAAGAGGAAGAGGAAGAGGAAGAGGAAGAGGAAGAGGAAGAAGAGGAAGAGGAAGAGGAAGAAGAGGAAGAGGAAGAGGAAGAAGAGGAAGAGGAAGAGGAAGAAGA